GTGTGTGTGTGGGAAAGGGAAGATTGGTGTGTGTGTGGGAAAGGGAAGATTGGTGTGTGTGTGGGAAAGGAAAGAAGAGTGTGTGTGTGGGAAAGGAAAGATTGGCGTGTGTGTGTGGGAAAGGGAAGATTGGTGTGTGTGTGGGAAAGTGAAGATTGGTGTGTGTGTGGGAAAGGGAAGATTGGTGTGTGTGTGTGTGTGTGTGTGTGTGGGAAAGGGAAGATTGGTGTGTGTGTGTGGGAAAGGGAAGATTGGTGTGTGTGTGTGTATGGGAAAGGGAAGATTGGTGTGTGTGTGGGAAAGGGAAAATTGGTGTGTGTGTGTGTGGGAAAGGGAAGATTGGTGTGTGTGTGTGTGGGAAAGGGAAGATTGGTGTGTGTGTGTGGGAAAGGGAAGATTGGTGTGTGTGTGTGTGTGGGAAAGGGAAGATTTGTGTGTGTGTGTGGGAAAGGGAAGATTGGTGTGTGTGGGAACAATTCTTTATATTGTAACAATGCCGTTTCTGCACCGAGCATTATAGAAGTGCGTCAGTCACTATTTCTGGCTCAGCTCGGTATGCACCACGTCCTCCATCACCCCACCTAAGGAAGGGGCGCTAGCTGTGCACCCATTTGAAGCATTCTGCCCCCGCCTGCTGGGTTGTCTTGGGTGGAGCTCCCCCTTCCATGAGGAAGCCAACACAGGCGAAACGCGTCTAGTTAGGACCATCAGTCAGCATTGCGGGATATGACATATATGTACTGAGATCATACAATGTATACACGCAATGCTAATGTACCCGGGACGTCTGAACACGCCAAAGGAGACAACATGCTGCATCCTTCAGTGAGACACAACAACAGATTTAATGGAATAAAACTTTATTCAGTTCGGAAGGAACACAGAAATCAGAAGTTTCTTCAGATGTATAGATGTCAGCAGTCCTGTGGGGGGCAGGTAAGGGGCCCATCTAGGGGGCGTCCAGATCAGCGCAGGGGCCCAGGACCTGCATCACGTTATCCGGGACCGTTCCATTACCACAGAATGAGGATCTATGGGGGAGGGGAGGGGAAGGGGGAGTGGCATAAACATGAGAATTTACACACAGAAAGGAAAATATTCATCATCTTCCCAATTCCACATCCAGACACATGGAGTATGACCCTGAAGGGGTCAAACTCCATCTAACACCACACATGACCCCATCCCGTGTTACAAGGCCTGATCCCATGTTCTCAGAGACATGTACAGAGCGGGGTACATGACGTGTGCGGGTAGTTACATTCTGTGTACATGTAGACACAGCGCACCGACTTTCCGGGAACAAAGTGGACCTGTCACCACATATGATTTCAGGAGTGATGTGTCATGTGATGTGTCATGTGACCCTTCCAGTTATTTCACAGAGGTCACATGACTCCTCCTGACAATGCCGTCATCTGCATCTCACTCCAGAAGGACGGCACCATTATTATAGCGCCAACAGTTTGCTCAGCGCTGTACAATACAATTGTTCTGGCATCATCCGGGGTCACCCTCCACTTCCTGGACTGAGATGGCAGCACAGAGGTGACACAATCATATAATCCCGATGTCTGCGCAGTTCACAAATGTCTGACACAGATCAGCCCCTGCTGCAGCCTCCCAGCTTGTGACTGGATACAAAGTTACAATGTTGCAGACTGATCACTGGGGGAGGGGAGACTGAGGAAATGCTTCCTCCTGCCTGCAGCAGACTGATCACTGGGGGGAGGGGAGACTGAGGAAATGCTTCCTCCTGCCTGCAGCAGACTGATCACTGGGGGAGGGGAGACTGAGGAAATGCTTCCTCCTGCCTGCAGCAGTCTGATCACTGGGGG